GAATTCTGACCTATGTCTCGAACCTGGACCTGTAGCTATCACAGAGTGGGAGCTGACAACACCCTCCCCAGAGAGAGGGTGATGGTTCCGCCCCGCCAGGTGTCCGCCAGCCCCTGGCCGCTCCCCACCGGTCCGTTACCGGTGCCGACTCCTGTCACTGGGTGCAGGGCGGAGACATTTCTGGTCCCCGGCAAACCCTCCGTGGACTTGCTCGGAAGGCTGGCAGCTGTCCCGGCTCGGCATTGACATAGAGGGACAGCAGCATGAGATCACCCGGCCGTATCCGGATCTTTTTATCCTCGAGGGCGCAGCTGCCCTGGTGGGTGCATATTCCGGACCCTCCGGCCCCCCTTGCCCACTTGCCGGTCCGGAGTTTCTGTACTCGCCGGTGCTCCGCCCTCGCTACCAACCCCCCGTGGCGCAGCCGTAACTGTTACGCTCTGTTTCCGGCCGGTCCATTTGGGCGAACACTCCGGCCACAGCAATCACTGCTGCTGGAACTGCTTGATCAAGCGGCCCCGGGAGCGGTGACTTGTGGGTCCAGTCGACCCGGACTCTTCCGGTTCGGGATCTTCTCCGGTCACTCCTCCGGTCCGGCGCTCTCTTCGGTCCCTCGGCCGCCTCGGCTGCCCCCTCCTTTCGACTCCCCGGACCGCTCTTCCGTCTCTAGCTAGGCTAGAGTTTCCCTTGACTCTCTGGAACCCTCTCCGGCTGGCTCTGTGAATCTTCGGCCCTCGTATCGCCCACCTGTGCTTCACTCTGGTGTCGCCCGGTGGCTGCACCTTCGGTTCCCTTCTCTTTGCGAGCCCCGAATAGCCAGTCCCCCCAGAATGGCTTTTTCGGTTGCCAGGTTCCGGGTCTACCAGCCTCTCCCGGCCATCTCTGCCTCCCTTCCCCCTGTCTTCCGAGTCCCAGAGGTGGTGGCCACTGCGCCCTTCTCCCCCTCTGGTCCTTCTGCCTTTCCTGCTCCCTTGCTTCTGAGGCTCTCTCATCCACGCGGAGCCTGGCTGAAGCTTCTATGCAGAAGCTCCGACACGTGGCTCGACCTCATAAATGAGTTTGGTGAAAACTCCGCGTTGTTCACGTCAACTCAGGCTTCTTCACAGCTCGAGGCGCTTATCGTCCGTGTCATTGTCTCCTTTTCGGTCAGCACTCTCAGCAGGTACTTTGCGGTTTGGTCCGGTTGGGCTGCTTGGTGCGTGGTCTGCTCCTGCTCTCCGTGCTTGCCTGCTCCGGGGGTGCTCCCGGATTGGTTGTTGGCCCAAGCTAGCCCTCACAGTCTTGCCACCAACCAGTTGCGAGCACTGTCCTGGTTTTCTCGTCACGCCGGCCTTCCGGTCCTGCATGCTCAGATTCAGGCTCCTCTTTGCCGATCCTTTTCTCGAGCCACTCATCCGCAGGAACGACGCGAAGCCCTTCCCTTCAGCCTTTCGTTTATCGTCTGGTTGGAGCGCCGCGTTTTGCACCCGGACACTTCCTGCGCTGACATTCTCCTTATCGGCTCCTTGCTGTGTGCCGTGTGGGGATATCTCCGGTGGAGCGACCTGCTTTGGTGCCCTCCGGACCGTATTCACCTGCACTCCGATGGGTCCGTCATCTCCGGCATTGCTATGCGAACCAAAGTCACCCGTTCCGGGATGCCTTGGGGCATTCTCCATTCCGGTCTTACCGGCACTCCATCCGGCTCCTGGTCCTTCCGGTGGCTCACAATTCTGAAGCAATCCCTCCAGCGCTCCCGCGCTGCCTTCCCCAACAGAGTCATCGACTTTCTTCCGGCCCTCCTTTCGGGTCCCTCAGATCCCCGGTCCTGTTCAGCCCTCTGCAGCGGGACCGCGGCGTTACTTGGATTCGTTCTCTGCTCATGGAGCATTGGCGCGAATCTTCCTCCGGCCCGCCCCCCGAAGCCTTCCGCTTCATCGGTGCTCATAGTGCTAGCGGGCCCTGGTCTTCCACATTCGTTCTGGTTTTCGTCCGATGCAGCCCTTGGCGCGCGGTCTGGCCGAACCCCTTCCGGACTTCCCCGTGCAACTCCCAGCGGCGGTCCCTCTGGGTACAGAACCGCTGTTTTCGGCTTTTCCCGGTTTGAACCTTTCTCTTCAAACCCCGGCCTCCGCTGACCCGGCTCCTCAGCCTCGAAGGTTCCAGCCCCGGACGCCGAAGCTCAGATGGTTGCTGAGGCATCGGCGCTGCTTCCTCCGTCTTCCTCCGATGAAGAACCGGCCGAGCGTGCCGCCCCGTCATCCGACCCGGTCCCTTCTCTATTTTTGCACAACTACCGTAGCAACGTGGTTCATGCAGCCGTGCGGGTTGAGGCCCACGCCGCGCGCGGCCTGGAGGTCTCTGATCCATCTGGGTCCGGCACCCTTTGGGTTCGCCCCGCTTGCGGCTCCCAGACTCACCAATTGGCTCCGGACTCTTTGTGCAACTCGG